TGCAACCTGTTCTCATTTCATGAAATGCGGAGCAGCACACTTGCTAGCCTTTGAGCCCATATTGTGTGTGCTTGGGGTGGGAGGAGTGATCGCTTTATTACGCCAGTTAAAGAGACCACTTGTGATTTTTTGAAAGACAGTTTGTCAAGTGATTCCCCCCTCTCTCTCTCTCTCTCTCTCTTTTTTTTTGTTTGGGGGGGAAACACACACACACACACAATGTTTAACGTGGTGGTCAAGTTATGTTTACATTCTGGTGATGATGCACCTGACTCTGTGGGACTCCCTTTGTTTTTCAGAAGCGATGCTTGCTTGGCCTGAAAGTCTGAGCATGAGTTGAATTCCAGGCAGGTTGCTGTATGAATAGACAGTAAAAATGATATTGTTGTCCGCGGGCTCAGGGGCAGCATAAAGGCCTCTTTGAGGAGGGTGCGTGCGTGTGTCTGTGTGTGTGTGTGCGCGCGCGCGCTCAGGGAATGCCCAGTGTCTTTTGTTTTTAGTTGGTCTTATTTCTGCTGAAGGACACTTATCGAGCCCCAGCTTCCAACTTGGCAAAAGTTTGGTGTCGTATATAAGATATGTCGCTTAGCTTGCTGTATATTCAAGGTTTATATCCTAGGGGAAGTTCCATGCTTGTAAGAAAACTTTGTCATAAAGTGCAGGTCGGTGTTGGGATTGATACTACAGTGTTCAAAGGTCCCCCTTCTAGGGCGTCTAAACAGTTTCTAGTTTCTTGGTATGATGACGGTCATGGACATTACTCCTCGGGTTCCCAGACTCTTGGCCTGTAGATGAGCAGTAACCCCCTGTGAACCCCGAGAGCGCGTGGACATGTGCTCTGTTCTTGGTGATCTCCGGGTCGGCAGCATCCTGTGGAGAGCCACGGTCTCGGTGATGCGCATCACCTGTTCAGGAATTCAGGTTTCTCGTGTGCTTCATCTGAGAGTTCAGCTTGGATTGGAGCGTGTAAGCTTCTATCCTTTTGTTAATATTAAGTAGCTAGTTTTGGAATTTAGCCATAACTCATCTAATTATACCAGTAGTGACAAGATATTACTAATTTAAGGCCCTTCTGTGGCCGAACTCAGATCATGTCACTAGAATTGTCTTGAAGTGCTCTAGTTAGTTTAGAAACTCAATCACCGTGGGCCCTACTAGAAGTTAGGCCATAAGAATTTTCTGCTTCAAAATTGTCTTATAAATTTCTTATAACTGCTTCTCGATGTAATTTTTGGACTCATGTTTTTTGTTTTGTGTGTGTGTGTGTGTGTATGTGTGTGTGTTGTTTTGTTTTGCTGTGTGTGTAATGCAGCCCACTGCTAGGACACGTTGTCAATTTGGGGACAAGTTTAAATGATGGGATAATCGAAATATTTTGTATAAGAAAAAAATTGTTCATATAACTAAAAATAATTCAGAAAGTAGACAATATTCTGTTACTCCTGAAAATCTTTTAAAAAGTGGTCAGAATTTTTGGGTTTTCTTATTTGTAAGATGACATAATTGGATTTGATGATTTCTAAAGTTCCATTCAACTATAAAAATTTTGGTTATAATGATTTATATATTTTATTGATTTCAGAGAGGATGGGGGAGAGAGATGGAAAAAAAGAGAAACATCAATGATGAGAGATAATCATTGATTGGCTGCCTTGTGCATACCCCACACTGGGAATGGCCTGCAATCCAGCCCATGATCGGGGCATGTGCCCTGACTAGGAATCACACTGTGACCTCCTGGTTCATAGGTCGAAGTTCAATCACTAAGCCACCCTCATGATTTTTATTAGAGGTGTGAGAAGTGTGTAGACTGTGTAACCTACTAGATTTTTGATTCACAGTATCATAGAATATTTAGACCTGAAATGACTTCAGAGATCATCTATTTACTTCCCCTTCACAAATGAAGAAATTGAGAATCAAGGAGGTTTTAAGGTTCAAGGTTGCAAAACTGTTTGTTGTAGAATTGAAACTATTTTCTCCTGGCTTACTATTTCCCCCAATATTTGTGATACAGTCTTCTGACTCACATGAAATCGCTAGAAATGGTTGAAAATTGGATTTGAAAGTAAAATATATTACTCAAACATGAAAACCCAAGTATTATTAATGAATATTTTAAATAACAAAATTTTAGTGAATTAATGATGTTAATTACTGTTTTTTAATTTTTTTAAATGTGTGGACTTTTGAAATTTAAGATTGTATTTTGAACAAATACCAGTGTTTATACGTCCAAATGACTATAGGCCTGTTCAAGATTGTCTCTTTAAGAATTTGTTTTACATTTGTTTGACTATATATATAAAAGCAAATTAAAGAAGGGCCTTAATCTTGATGATTACTTATTAAATACCTATTATGTGCCAGGCACTGTTCCAGGCACTGGGGATATGTATATGTATATGTATATGTATATGTATATGTATATGTATATGTATAGTTTGTTTCACTGAAAGATGAAAATCCCTGCTCGGGTGAGAGCTACATTTTAGTCAGCAGAGACAGATAATAAACATCGTATATCTTTTTCTTCCTTACTATGTTAGAAGGTGTTAAGTGCTATGGGAGAAAAGCCCCTTTAGGGAGGGGAATTGAGAGTGGAGGGGGGCAGTGGAAGTGGGGTTGCAAAATGGTGTCTTCACTACTGGTGAGGTGAATTTTGAGCAGACTAGGAGATGAAGGAGTGAGTCCCACAGAAACACAGTGGGGAGAGATTTGAGGAACGTTGAGATCGTGTTGCTGGAGCAGTTTGTATGGGGCTCCCTCTCCCCCATACAGTGTCATGTTGGCATTGGAGCAGATGAGGTCTGAGTGAGGAGTGGAGATGGGCATGGGTGGGCATTGAAAGGATATTGGGTCTTTATTCCAAGAGAATTGGGAGCCCACTGAAGGATCCTGAGCGGTATGGTGGACCTTGTTTCCGCTGTCCCATCGTGTGCCACTGCAGTATTATAATCATTATTTTTAAAGCAGTTTTTGAAGACAAAACCCATGTTATAGTTTTCTTTACCATGAAGCTTCTGTGAGTTTTGAGTTCTCTTTAAAATGACTGTCCAATATTTAATAAAAACTAGTGGACTGTTGAGTTTACCTAGTTAAAACAGCACAGAAATATCTTTCATAGATTGCCTTTGAATATGTTATAGTAGCTTGTGTATAGTTTAATGGCTACATGCTGAAAACTGGGCCATTGGGGAGAAAGGAGGATATTAACATTTATTGAGAACATACTGTTTGCTGGTTAATTTACCACCATTATTTTATTTAATCTCCACTCCAATTTGTGAGGTAGTTACTGCTATTTCCTCTTAACATACATAGAAATGAATATTTATCAGTTCTAAGTGCTATGACCAGGGTAAAGAGCCAGTATGTGGCAGAGCAGGGATAAGAAGCTTGGTCTCTCATTACACATTTTACCCCCTCCTCCTAAAAAAAACAACAAAAACTCAGCAAGCACCCTTTTCGTATAGGTGTGGAATTTTTTTATTAGTTTCACTCTGGTTTCTTCCTTATACTGAATAGTTGTTTCCATACATAATCAAGATATCTCATTTAAACATTTAAGTAATTGAAAAATTAAAACTCTTTTGGTACATACAGTAAAAAAGTTGAATGTAAAATAAACTCATTGCAGTAGTGGTCTTCTTTTTAAGTTTTAAAACAGCTGAGCTCATTTGAGTCAAGTGGCCTCAGAGATTAGGTCCAGCATAGTAAAAATCTGTGAGAAATCCCTCTTTTAAGTTTCAGTATGTGTTGTTCACCCTGTGATAGTGTTAGCCATGACATTTGAAGAAGAGAAATAGTTCCAAATAGGATTCAGTTGCTTTGTGGACACAAACAAGCTCTTGAATAACCTGCTGACTATCTAGTTTGCCTAGTCACTTTAGGTGTATACCCCCCACCTAAGAAAAAGCAAAAACAGAAGGGAAAAAATGTCCCTAAATCATCTTTTATCTCTATGTGGAACCCATTTATATAATTAGTGCCTAATCAGTGATTAGGCTGCTTGTTTTCATTGTAAAAATGGAAGAGATTTACTTTTAAAGAGTTTTTTTCTAAAGAACTTAACTTTAGCCGTAACCGGTTTGGCTCAGCGTCGGCCTGCGGACTGAAGGGTCCCGGGTTCGATTCTGGTCAAGGGCATGTACCTGGGTTGCAGGCACATCCCCAATAGGGAGTGTGCAGGAGGCAGCTGATCGATGTTTCGCTCTCATCGATATTTCTCTCTATCCCTCTTCCTTCCTCTCTGTAAAAAAATCAGTAAAATATATTTTTTAAAAAAGAACTTAACTTTAGATAAGCACTCTTGTAATACACTTTTCAACCCTCAACACTGAACATAGTGTTCAGCAACAGAGATAAGTTGACATGGCCCATTCCTTTGTTATAGTTTTCATTTCAATAAACATTTAGAGACTTATTTATTCATAGGATTCTTATATTTCTGGATTTACTAAATATTAGAATTAGGAGATTTCATTTTTTCAGGGATCATTTATTCTCTTATGAAACATATTGCACGACTGTTAAGTGTTAGTCATCATAAGTTCTTTAACTATGGAACTTAAAACTCTCATTTAATTCTTGTTAGTAACATTGTAGTTTGATTTTTTTTTTTAAATCCTCACCCGAGGATATTTTTCTATTGATTTCTTAGAGAGAGAGAGAGAAAGAGAAAGAGAGAGAGAAAGAGAGAAATATCACTGTGAGAGAAACACATTGATTGGTCACTTCCTGCACTCCTCGGCCAGGGCCCCGGCCAGAGAGGAGCCTGCAACCGAAGTACGTGCCCTTGACTGGAATCGAACCTGGGACCCTTTGGTCTGCAGGCCGACGCTCTATCCACTGAGTCAAACCGGCTAGGACTGATTTTTTTTTTTTTTTAAGAAAAGATGTCTGCCCTGGCTGGTTTGGCTCAGTAGATGGAGCATCAGCCTGCGGACTGAAAGGTCCTGGGTTTGATTTTGGTCAGGGGCACATGCCTGGATTAGGGGCTGGATCCCAGGTGTGGGGTGTCAGGAGTCAGACCATCAGTGATTCTCATTGATGTTTCTCTCTCTCTCCCTCTCCCTTCTCTCTGAAATCAATAAAAATATATATATATATTTTTAAAAGAAAGGATGTGTATGGAGAGGAGAAGCAAATTTAAATTAGCTACCTCGATTGCTTGTTAGAAGTTGAAGCAGTAAGTTTGGAAGAATCAATTGAAATGTGATAACTAACACAAGTATTTTAAGGAGGTAATTTCTATCCTATTATCGTAGATAATCTGGAATTAGCAAAATAACTTTTTAATAGTCAAAACAGTTTTCTCTGAACCAGAATCAAAACATTCTATTTACCTGGTAGTCATCTTTTGAATAATAATCTAATAATTCTGTGAATGGGGAAGAGAAAATCCTTTAAATTTCCATTAACAGAATAATTTTTTTAAGCCTGTGAGAAAAGTTCTTTAAAAAAAATACAGATTGTAAGTTTGGATCTTACAAGTATACTTTCTGAACTTTTCCCCAGGTGAATTGCCATAATATAAAGCATCATTGGGTATACTAATTGTATAGTATATAATAATTATACATTATTCCATATTTGACTTGGTGTAATAGTAGTATAGCACCTCTTAAAGAAGAGTTCATTTTGTCATTCAGAGTGCAGGAAGTTTACAGATGAATGATAAGTCACAGGCCAAACCATAAGTAATGTTTCTAAACTGCAGATTATCATTTAAAAGAATATTGAGGGGTTTTGTTTTTCTTAATATTTGAAATTGTACACATTTGCTTATATTTTCTGGCCATAGCCTGTACATGTATTTGTATTTTCCTCTGGGTTTCAAGTCTTCTCATTGGAAAAGGAAACCCTGACTCTTATTGCCTCCTCTGCACATTTAAAGCTGTAGAGTATGGTCATCTTTTAAAATACAGACTGACCGGACTACAAACACATTTTTCTTCCTGTTG